CTCTTCGACTTTTGCGTGGTGCTTCTCATCTTTGCTTTACTGGACAATAATTCCCAATGAATAAACGTCTTAAGCAGTTGAGTAAACGATCAGAATAAGTTTACTGGTAAACATCCATATTCAAGTTGCTCACTCACTTCAAAGAGCACTTACAGGGAAAATATCGTAATTCAATTGAACACAGAATGACAATTATAGATGTTGTTTCCTTGCAATCAAAAGTTGTGTTAAATAAAGTAAATTTAGTAACTAGCTCAATATAAGCATTCATTTTTCAGGTTTGAATCTTGGCTCAAATCTTCATAAAAATAAGCTTAAACTCATGCAATTGTTTGACTTGGAAAAGGTTCAGATAAAAGTCGCTATTGTTAGAGCAGTTGATGGTAAAGTTGCGAAAAATTGAAAAATGATTCGAAGAAAAGTTTGGATAACTTTTTCTCTCTTTCAAGCAAAATCTTTTCATCATTGATTTTCTCGAGCATTTTTCTCATTCCTTTCTTCCATCCAAGCAATTCAAGTTTATCGCCCATTCAACTGGACAATTGATGTCAAAAAAGAATGACTCAATTGAGAGAAAAACAAAACTCGAAATGAATGGGAAAAAGGTTCAACTTTTTCAAGAGCAAACCATTTGAAGCAAAAGGCCATTTAAAAGGCAAATATAAATAAGACATTTTCTCATTTGCAGTTGAAGGTAAATACAAAAGAAGTTGAAATTGATGCGAAACTTGAAATTTACTGGAAAAAGAGCTACAAAGCAAGTCAATGAAACGAATTCAACTTGAAATATTCATTCGATTCCATGAAATTCTTGCAACATCCTTAATGGAACACCATTTTTCACTGAAATCTTGACCAAAGCACAATGAGTATGCTCATGTAGTCAAACGATTGTGCATGAAAAAATGTCACGTATTTCCATTCACTTTACCCAGCAAAGTTTGAAATTTTCATCATTCATCATGTTTGATGAACAAAATTTGTAAAGAAAAGCATTTTTCTTGTTCACCATTGATTCCATTGCAACTAATGAATAATGATCAAGCCACAGAAAAAGCATGTTTGAAACATTTGATGAAGAAAATGATGAAAGAAGAGAAAAAAAAATCAAAATAATTTCCACTCTTTTCATCACCATTAAAGCATTTACATTTATTTATATTAATACAATGTACAGTTATTTACAAAAGGCAAACTGAAAAAAGGATAAAAACATTTTCCTTGTCTTTACGGAATTCAAAGAAAGGGAAGAGGAAAAAAATGACAGCAAAAGAAGGAACAAAAAGTAATAACATTCGAGTTGTATTAACGTTCAACTTGACTTGCAATAATAATGATAATGATAATAAAGTTTAATGGCACATTTGAGGCCATCAAGAATACTTGTTTACCATGGAAACATTTCATTTTCTCAGATGAATTATTCAATGGGAAATGGAAACGAATAAGCAAAAGACTCTTTGCCAACTGAGCAAATCATTTCTTCCCTTTTTTACGATTAAATATTATCAAATGTTGAAATTGAATTTTGAGCTTTAAGTTTACTTTTGCTGATCATTTAAATGTACTTTGGCTTCATGATTATCAATTTGTCACGTCAACTTATCACCTTCATCTTCACGGGAAATGAAGTTACTTCTTAGGTTGCCATTGGCCAGTTCATCGTCACTCTCTTCATCATTGTCCTCGTCATTCCCATAAGCACCTCCAGCATAATCTTCATCTTTGGTGGGGGAATCGTCGAAAAATGAAGGCAACGATTCATCAAGATTGCCTTCCCTGTTAATGTTATCACTTTTATTGCTGGCTTCCGTTTCATCAATTACCTTGTAAACTGATAAAACATTTTGACTCTCTATTTGGTAAGCATTTACTTTGGGTTCAGTAAAAGTGTCCAAAATGTAACTTTGATTAAGAATGTTGGTAAAGTTTCCAATGGGTAACCAGGGATGAACCATTGAATCATTAGTGTTCAACATGGTAAATTCATTGGTAACCATTGAGGTTGTATTGATGGTCAAAGGTTGGGTTAAATTTTCATTCGTCTTTTGGTGTTTTGGTCAAATCCATTTTCACATTTTTCATTCCATGCAATGAATGTTTAAAGAAAAGGTTTCGATTTTGGTGATTTGTCCAACCCATGAATAGTCCGATTGAACATGGAAAAGGTGAAAAGATTAAGAGGGAATAACATTTATTCAGAGTTTTTTGAAACTCTTTTGGTTAAAATCTTTTAAAGCTTCTTTTCTTTTCTTTGCTCATTTTCTTGCCAACCATGTCTTTCAAATCACAGTTTATGGTTAGTTCAAATACCATGATGAATGAAAGATTATATCAAAAGTTAAAAGGTAAGGTAACGAAAAATGGTTGACAGGAAAAGTTACTCAGTTTTTTTTTCTTTTACATCATGCATTTGCTTTTCTACTTTGGAATTTTTTCTCTTTCTTTTGGCTGCTTTTGTCTAATGCAACTGGGAGTGAAAATGAGCAACTTTTATCATTATATTTATCATTATGTTTTTTCTTTACATCATCATTATAAAAGAGCAACAATGATAACTTGATCTTTTACTTATTCTGGTAACCCATCATTAGCTGAGTAAAATGTACATTATCTGGTAAGAAAAAGTCGAAAATATCGACTCAATAATTGTTCTGACTTTTTAAAACTCTTTCATATCATTTTACTTTAGTTCATTTGAAACAGGATCAACTTACCGATTCTGTTGGTGTAAAATTGAACAAAGTTGAGGTTAAATAATCCACCAGAAAGGGAAGCTGAGTTGTCTGATTGGAATTGATAAGTTTTTGAAACGTTAATGTAGCGTTAACTGGAAAGCAAAAAATCGAGAAATGATGAGAAAAGGAAAAGTTATTATGAAAATTCATTGCTTCATGTATGGATAGTGACTTGGGAAGGGTTAAGTTTGGTGAAACGAAATTTGCACTTCGTTTTGAGTGTTTGAATTCTGGAATTGCTGAAGTTTAGTAAATGAGTAAAAATATTTACCTTCATTGTCTGCTCTCGCAGAGTTGATAAGAGCAAATAAAATTGTCATAATCCAGTTTGCAACATTTTTACACATTTTCATGCTTTTATTGCTTTATAATGTTACATCCGAGTTGATTGAGCTATTCAATTGACAAGAATACACACATTTCATCATAAATGTCTTTTGAAATCGAACGACATTCATGACTGCCATGAAATCTGTTTGTACTTTTCACTTCCAACTATCGTTACAGTTTTCATTTTGACTGGTTCAACATGAGATGGATATGAGACTGAGAGTTTGCTCACATTATCATTGATTCATTTGGTAAATTTGTGAGTAAAGTGCCTCCATCTACATATTTTCAGTAACAAAGAAAAGTGGTTCAAATCTTATTACTATTATTAATATAATAAAGATTGTAACACTTAAAAAGGCACAAATGAAGGAGGTAACAAGAAAGCTTATCTTGATCACAAAATTTGACGATATTGTTTAAAAAAATAATGGCGCAACAGGGACAATGAACCAAAATCAAATCTGTTGCTTCAAAATCTTCATTATTATCTTGAGTAATGTTACCAAATTTTGTAATTAAGGTAAGATAAGCTTTCTTGTTGCCTCCTTCATTTGTGCCTTTCTACACCCTTTACTTACGTCTGGATTGTTAACTGTAAAATAGGTACTTCATTACCTCCCAAATCACTGTGTCGAATATAAACTGTTCTTGATATATCTTTTTATTGATTGTAATAAGCATCAGTCAAGTTATTAATAGTTGGTTATAACATGTTTAGCTATATACCGGACGTTTTTTTTCGTTTTATGCCTGTTTGCAAACCTAATGGTTGCTACTACTTAATAAGAAGGCCTGTAGTCGATTTAACCGTAAACAAAGCAGATTCTGACTTTCCGCATGATTTGTTCACCAGATATGCTATACCAACAAATCAATATCGTCAAATCCCATTAACGTCATTATACTAACCTTAACCTGTATTGCTATTATTATTACCATTGTTTCTTTTCGCACAGCATGGACGGTAGAAAAGTTAATGAAATCATTAAAGCCTTGCCGATGAACACAGCATTTCTCTGTGGTCTCTTGAAAACCATCTAACTAGAGAAGTTCAAGAAAAAATCAAAAGAGAATTAGCATACTGCAAAATTATAATAAATCTATGAACAATTAGAGAGTTAGCTTTCAGAGCAAAAGCCAGAAATAATCGTACTCTTCAGAGAGAATGTTTCAAAAAAACTGAGATCTTCACGAACACTTCATTGATTATACAGTACTTTATAAAGAGGCCGGACTTCCCTACTACCCCCTTGACATGGTTTATGAATTCAGAAACGCTGAGAACGCTGATCCATGTACAAACGTGCATACTTAATCCTTCTAATTTACTTTCAGAATGAAGCCAACTTATAAACCCAACGAAGCCATCCTTGATCAACCATATTTATATAATATAGCATTAGATAGACCTCCAGGTTGGTATCTATTAAGACGAGTTAAACATTTCGTTATTCTCGTTGAAATCTTTGAAAGCACTTTTCTTCGATAATGGCTATCCATTGGCATGAAGAATTTTTGCTTACAGTTTATGGCTCTTTGTCTCAACGCAATTTTACTCTCGAATTATCAACGAAAGAGCCTAAACTTTCTTTGACTTGTTGACTTTCTTTCATCTCCAATACCATCAACATCATCACCTGATGCAAATTGTGATTGTTCAACATGTGTTATTCACCGGAGAAGAGTCCCACTCAAAAGAAATTGTTCAAAACGGTGTTCGTATTTTGTTACCTTCTCCTCCGCAATCTGTACCTGAACCGTATATACCCTTGGTTAAAGTGATGCATTTTTTGAAATATTTATCAACCACAATGGAAGGAAACGATCGTCAAAAGGATCAGATTGCAAAAGTGGAAAAAATCTGGAAAAAGCTTATGGTGATCGCTTGCATAAGAAAAATTGACTGTGAAGTTTATCTAATCATTATTTACACTATCATCATTATCATTACTTTTTCACCGAAGGTGAAAGTGTGTTGGAGCCAGCAATTTCAAACTACTAGTTGCAGTCTGACATTTCGATAGAGTTTTGAATTATATGGATTTTCTTTTACAAGAGGCGCAACGCGTCAATAATGAAATAGTCATGGTTAATAAAAATGTATATAGCTCCATAATTGAGCACGGTAGAGATCTGGCTACTTTCATCTGATTGAATTTGGGGAAAATGTTAAATTACAAACCTTTTTCTGATAATAAAGCTTAAGTTTTAAATCCAATGGTTAGAATCATTACAAATATCAATAAATTCATTATATTTGCCTTTCAATGATTATGCTTCACTAAGCTTAAAACACCTAAGAAAACATTTCTATTTATCTATGTAATCATTCTGATTATTTTTTATATTTACGTCATTTTATTTCAATTACATCAACATATTTGAAATGATTATCTTATTTCTAACGATCATTCATAATCATGGGTTCCATCTGTTATTAATAGATCAAAAGAACAATCGAATTGTTCATAAAACACCATAATAAGGATTAAAGAATAAAATTCACTGCTTAGAAAAATGTTTACAATGAAGAATAGTGTGATTCAATGTATGAACAAACCATGCAACCCGCCATTAATAAAGGTGCAAGGTGTTCGCGGTCACCTTTTTTATCCTGGCACCAGCATCATGTCCTGAGATGAACAGTTTTTGCCGTGGGACCAGACTTTTACTAACTAAAATTTCATTTTTTTCACTAGATGTCACTACGGTGTTAAATTTTGTGCATATTGAGTTGTCCAGGTTATTGGGTAAGTGTTCGAGTTTTTTGCAGATAGATTTAATATCAAATTTTTTGAAATTTTATCAATATAGTATTAGATAAAATAATCTGATAGATGAAATTATGTGTTTCAATAAAACAAAAACTAAGTTGAGTAAAGTCAACCCCAAAATTATAGTGAAGTCTCAATATCCATCAAAACTTGTCATAAAATAAAATGACTTTACTATGAAATCTAAAAAATGATCCAAATATGATATTCAACTTGATCAATGTCTCATCAATTTGCATAATTGAATAATCTAAAGATCAACAGTCAAATATGCCAACTAATTGGGTTAATTGATTGGAATATAAGTGGAATAGTAAATATTGAATGACAAAATGAGCAGCAAAAGCCTTTCTCTTTGCCAAACAAACTGTCTCAAACTTTATCCCTAAAAAATTGAAAACTTGAACATTAAACTAGTGACTTTCATAATCCCACAAGATTAACCGATCCATGTGTTGACACAAAAAAATGCAAACACAAGAAGCAAAAAGTAAACAAACTCTTTTCACAACTCGAAGTAAAAGTCTATCAAAAGTGTTTCTCATCTGATAGGAAAGAAGCATTTGGGTGCTTCCAATGAATTGTTGATGAAAAATTTGACTTCACTCAAGCAATCGGATGGTCAGAAGAAAATGAATTCAATAAGTTCATGCCGGACAATACAGTAAAATGTCATTTTGAAACAGCATTCAGGAGAAGAAAAAAAGTTTTTCAATGTTTTCCTTTTGCTTCATTGATAATGAACAAATGTAAAGGAAAACAAAGCATCAACTTGGCGAATTGAAAGACTGTCAATTAAATGTCAACCTTTTACAAGCGGAATGAGTTGATCTTTAGGTGAATATGATAAGCGATGAGCGAAAGAATGAAAATTATGAGATGAAAATTGAATTTACTTCATCTTGTCATTATTATATTATCTTATTATAACAATGATATTGCTTCAGGTCAAGTTTGTCATTTATACTTGAGGTTTCACTTTGTAAACAAGTCAACATGTCAATAGCATGAAGAAAAAAAAAGATCTGACAAGAGTAAATACTCTTTGGTTTCCATTCATATTCAAAACTTTATTTGGTTAATCAAAACAATTATCATTTCTCCATCTCTCATCTTGTACATCATCTCAACCCTTCTTCATTCCCATTCAATATTTTGACGATTTCTTTCTTTTCTTTTTCTCAACCAACATTTCATTCCTTTTAGATAAACACTATTCAGATGAGTGACTTTACTTCTTATTTGGTTATCGACTACAAGTCTACCATTTGGGTTTATTTGTTTCTATTAATACGCTTCTTTTCATCTTGTTTTCATAAGAATCTTGCATTTGATCAGTGATTTACAGGGAATCGGAAAAGCTCATCACTTGTTTATTGAACTGTGCCTGACATTTTATCCCTTGTTGATAATATTTAACCTCAATATTAACTTTTACTGTTCATCTTTTCATTCAATTCTTTTCCCTTGTTCAATCCTCTTCAAGTAAACCTTCATCAAAAAATTGTGACTCTAAAGCCAGACAATTGGTAAAAACTAGAAATTTATTTCCAACCAAACATAAGTTATTGACCACAAAAGGTTGCCTTTACTTGGAATGATATGAAGATGATCATCTTATCTAAGAAAACACAATTTTCTTAACCATTTTTCATGACATTATTAGCATTGTTATTCAACCTTTTACCTTTTGATAGAGATTATTGTTTCCATTGGGCAAAGGAATAAGTTGATACAATGAGAGATGCACAAACCTGCAATGGTTCAATGTTTCTCCAATGAACAAAAGCAATAGTCGAAAAGATTAACTAGAAAAATCAATTTCCTCTCAACTTATTATTCCTATTATCATCTTCATTCCTTGCATTATCATCTTTTTCTGCCTACAAATGGAAGCATTTGCATGGAAAAACATGGAAACTTTACTTACCCAGACAATGAAAGCAAACAAAAGTCATTTTTTGTTTCAAAATTTTCATCTCGACTTTCATTCGAAATGTATAGCTTAACCTCGAGAGCAAGTTTGATGGGTAAAAGAGTATCCAAGAGCATTCAATACTCAGACTAATCTGATTGAATATTGAGGTGCATTAATGAATAATACAAAGGTCATAAGCAGTTAGCAGAAATAAAAGACAACTCAACTGTTGAAATTAGATATTTTATTAATACTTGGAAACATTTATAACAATGTTAAGGAGTTCAATTCTGAGAGAAAAAGTTTCATTATTTTTCTCTGATTTGTTTTTGTTCAAAAAACCTTCTAATGTAAATGAGAAGTTTAACAAAATTTCAAATGATTCGTAACTTGATTTACCGTCAAATTGGTTAACTGTTGTTGCTATCAATTGGGCATTTCTCTTTCCTGAACCTCGCTTAACCATGAAATTAAGGTTATCAACAAAGGAAGAAAAAATG